TTTTTTTGCAGTACTGGGGATTGAACTCAGGACCCTGTGCTTGCCAGACAAGTGCTTATTCTACTGAGCTATCTTCCCGGCCCCATGTTTGTTTTGGAACAGGATCTCACTGTGCAGCTCAGGCTGGCCTTCAGCTCACTTTGTAAGCCAGGCTGGTCTCAAACTCCCAACAATCCTCCTGCCTCAGCCTCCAGAGTGCAGGGATTACAGGTGTGCAACACCCCACCCAACCAAGAATTTACAGAAATTTTTAGATGACTTTTGCAGACTACAAGAGATATGTATTTGAAGAACTATTTTAGCATAAAACAATGCCATAACCAAAACCCAGAGAAATATATCTTTTTTCCTCCTAGGCCTCTTGGCTGGGAGGCAGTATTCCAATTTTCAATTCCAAGTTCCTTCCAGGTTTTGCCCAAGAGAAAAACCTATACTGCCAAGACACAAAAATGCTGCCCAGGAGGGGCTTCAGTAGCTCTGCAAGGTGGCTAAGAGGTGGGTCCTACAAAGAAAGACACAAAGACCCTTCTCCTCCCAGCCCCCCTAGCAGTGACAGACCCTGCTCAAGCTCCTCCACCGACTCCTCCGCGACGGCGACCCCAGGGCTTGCGCACTTGTAGGACGGCAGCACCACCTCCAGAGCACACAGGAACCTCAAGCCTGGCTTCCCCCGGGGTGTGGCCAGAGCTCCTGCGTCTCTGCCTTCAAGGTCAGAAAGGTCCTGCAGCTGTCAGGATTTAGAAACCAAGCTCTCCACTACAGTGTGCAGTGCTGGGGCCTGCATGCAGGACCTCACACATGCTGGCCCAGTGCTCTACCACCCAGCTACCTCCCCAGCCCCAGCGCAGGATTTTAAAAGAAAGAAATGAAACCTCCAGTAATCCCTGCTAAAAGTTAAGGTCTCTGAGAGCTTCAAGATCAAGCAAGATTTTCAGGTGAATTCCTCAGTGTAGACCACCATGTCTTACTAAACACTGCACAAACACAGCAGAAAGCGACAGCTGCCACCACCCACGTGACCGAGATGACTGTTAATTCCAGGGGATGCACCAATCCGGACACCCTGACCTGCCCTCCATGACAGCTGGCCTACATGTTCTCCTCAAACCCACTCATCCCTTCGCCTGCACTGCAGGGCTGTCACCGTGCTTGAGGGCGTGGTCAGTCCCACAAAGTCTACCACGCTTACCTTGATGATCCTTTTGGACCATCCGTTGAAACCGAAGTAGTAATTGGCCAGCTCTTGGCATCGTGAACTGTTCAGGGGAAGGGTCTGATGTCCAGCTGCCTTGTGTCTGCTCCCAAGATGAACCTGAGGCCACAAGAGATGGAGCAGCAAGCCGCATAAGCAGCCAGAGCCCTGACTCTGGGCGGCCTGAGGTTATCAATACCAATTTCAGAGCGGGGTCATGAAGGTGAAACAGGACAGAACGTCTGAAGCCCTGCGTGCACACTGAGGCCGAAGTCAACGCTTTTTACCATTGTTCAACCTCTGCGCCATTTTCGGGGGCCCTGAGCAACAGGTAATGTTTCCTGGACCTCCGGTGCTGAACACAGATGATAAAAGCAACTGGGGGAGAGGGGCGGGAGGTGGCTCAGTAGAATAAGAGCTTGCCTGGCAAGTGCAAGGGCCTGAGTTCAATCCCTGGTTCCGCCCCCCCCCCCAAAAAAAAAGCAACTGAGGACACGCCACTGGAGAATGCGAAGGCTGTGAGCAGGGCTGCTGCCGTCTTCCTATGCAGTAGCCCTGCATACGAACATGCCTACAGGGCAGACGGCAAGAACCCGCCGCCACACGTTCTGCAGTTGCAAAGCTGGCAGAGGAGGGAACACCCACCTCGGTGTATTTTACCAGCAACTAAAAACCACCGCAGGCCCATCTGTGTCAGCAAGCTTCTCTGGGAATGCAAATGTCAATACCGTTAACCTTCCTTCTGAATATCTACTCAATCTTGAAAAGAGCATGGTTTATGAATATACTAATCAAATTTGAACATCTTAAAAGCAAAGCATTCCTCACTCTTCATTGATCTGTTTATGTATCTTCTTCCTCTGCCCTAGCTTCCCAGCTCCTTAAGTGCCCCAGGGAACAATTCTTACCCTGGGCTCACTCTGAGAGCCCAGCACTTCCTGGCTTCTAATTGAGGACCATTGGGCTGATGATTGAATGAAAAAGAAATGAAGGCTGATTTTTAAAAATCCAGGGCCAGTCAGTGAGTCACAGCAGAGCCTCGAGACAAGCAGGAAGCTTCCGAGGGCTCTAGCAGGGCAGCCTTGGGTAGTACAGCGAGGTGTCACCTTAGACCACCTTGCCATGGCTCTTAGCAGCTACCATTTTCAAAACTTCACGACATAGAATAGGAGTCGGGGCACAACTCTCTCAGGTGCTTTAGGCCTTTCCTTGATCTTAAAATATTACTCCCTTTTCTGTAATTTTAAATGACAAGAACTATGTGCCCTATGAAAGAACAAACTAGATGGTAACTTGGGAACAACAGGAACAAAGATTCTAGGTTAAGTAAGTAAGTCTAATGTGTGTGCTTTCCCTCAAATACACACCGGCTTGTTGGTCTTCCCTTCGGCACTCACAAAACAGTATCAAGACACCAAGGAACTGCTTACAAATCTTACAAATCATTCCAGTACGCTCTAATGTAATAAGGTAGATCCAGATCATAGTTCAAACCCTAAGGAATGGGGCCAGGGAGACAGCTCAGCGACATAAGCGCCTGCCCGGCAAGTGCAAGGTCCCAGTTTGATCCCCGGTACCTCAAAAATAAAAAAAAAACCTAAGGAATGTCTGCAAGGTAGTGGATCCAGGACGGAAGGGGATGCTGAACAGGGCCCAGAGGTTCAAGTAGCACAGTCACATCTGGGTAAAAGAGCGAAGCAATTTGAACAAGGTCAGAACAGAGCATGGAACAGATCAAGGGCCAATCTGGAAGGGAACTGGTGGGTGAGAGGAATGGGGATAGCACACCCTGCGCCCCACACAATGAGAACTCATCCTGGGACCCTGGGAGTGGAGAACCTTGCAGGGTGCCACAACGCATTAAAGGATGTTTCACTTGACTTGCGGGAACTGAAGGGTGCTCTAACAGGCAGGCAGTAAAGGATGATAAAGCATCCTTTATGTTGCTACTGACAAGAGCTTAACAGGGGCTGGAGAGATGGCTCAGTGGTCTAAAGCACCTACTTGAAACAAGCTTGGCAAAGCACAGGGACCTCGGTTCGATCCCCGGCACCACATGCCAGCCAGCCCCACCCGCTGGTGGGCTGAGCTGGCCACACACACAAACACACAATAAATAAATGTAATAAATAAAAATAAATATTAAAAAAAAAAAAAAGAGCTTAACAAACTCACACTTGATCCTCCTGCCTCGGCCTCCCTTTTCTGGGATTACAGCTGTGCGTCATTACACCGGTTTACAAACACAGTTTACAGCCGCATAAACGTTAAAAAAAAAAAATTCTTTTGGTGAAGCTTTTTGCAGGGCAGTACAGAAGGGCATGAGTTTCCATATACTGTCATGAACCTTAAAGGTTCCCCTAACCATCCGAAGTGTGATTCCTCCCTAGGATCCAGCTCGGAACCCACCTTCACCGGGGTGCTCTGGACCAGCGGGCTCCCGTCGCAGGCCTTCTGAGCTCTTCGGGCATCTCTGGCCGAGTAAAATTTGACGACGGCGTAGAAACCGGGCCCGGCCACCGCCGCATTGGGGAGAACGCGGACCGAGTGCAGGAGGCCGAAGCGGGACAGCGCTGTGGACAGAGACCGCTGCGGCGGCCCGGCCCGGAGAGGAGCTGAGCCCCCGACGTCCCCCCACCCCAGCACCGCGCACGCTCTCGAGTGGGGGGTCCGGGGGAGGACCCCGGCGTCCCCGCCGACGCCGGTGGGACGGAGCCCTCGAGGGGGCGGCGCTGTGGCGGGAGTCCCGGACCCACTCGGCGACGGCAGCTTCCTCCTCCCTTCCTCCGCCCTGGCTCACATGCAAGGCCTCGGCAGTGGGTCCAGAGCTCAAATTCCACACCAGCAAGGTCTTGTCACTCCCGCTGGGAACCGCAAACGGAATCAGCTCAGCCATCCCAGCCCGCCGAGCCTCGGGGCACCCGGGCACACGGTACAGCGCCTGCACGGCTAAGCCCAAGCAGTACTGCGCACGCGCCGCTGCGCTCACGCGGAACTGCGCACGCGCCGCTGCGCTCACGCGGAAATGCGCACGCGCGGCTCGGCACCGCCCCCGCGCAGGACACACCCTCGAGTTTTTAAAAAGGGCGCCTCCGGGCGCGAGCGGGGCAGGACCCGATTGGACGGGGGCGGGGCGGGGCGGAGCCAAAGTAGGGCTCTGCCCCGCCCCTCCCGTCAGGGCGGGTCTGTTCCTGCCCTCCTGCCCCCAGTCCAAATGTCCGCCAGCTGAGCCCTTCTTTTTTATTTTTATTTTTTTTTCTTCAAAATTTTATTGATAAGCAGATAGCAATGAGACAGTTTCAAATCAAATCGGAAGTACAGTTTCAACAAATAACACACTGCATATGTTCTTCTTAGTGGTTAATTGCTGTACAAGATGCGGTCTTGAGATCCTATTTACAAACACCATTAGAACAAATCATTCTATTCATTAAGAGAATGCAACTATATATCCTAACCACTTTGAATACACAGATACAAAATGGACATTCATCAGTATACCCCATTTTTTAAAAATTTTCTTTTAATTTCTAATTTTTTTGTGGGGGGGAACCGAGGGTTGAACTCAGACCCTTGTGCTCGCCAGGGAAGCGCTTATTCCACTGAACCATCTCCCTGGCCCCAAGCGCTTCCTTTTTTAAAAAAAATTTTCTTTTTATTTATTTATTGGGTACAGGGTCACACTACACAGTTCAGACTCCTAATGATCCTCCTGTCTCAGCCTCCCCTTCGCTGGGATTACAGACATGCACCACCACGCGGGGTTTCAGGTCCTTGTGCTTGCCAGGCAAGTGCTGAGACTAGTGAGCTATTTTCCTAGCCGCCGCTGAGGCTCTTCCTCACACGTGTCACCCCCCTCTCCGGGGCCATCTGCCATTTTTGCTGAAGTCTGGACACTTTACACTGTTCAAAGCCGCATATCTCCAGGACAGTGATGGTGTCAGAGAGCCACTGGGGTGGCCTAGCACTGCTGTTCTCTTCAGAACAAAGAAAGCAAAGCCAGCCAGGCGGAGTGGTACAGACCTGTCATTCCAGCACTTTGGGAAGCTGAGGCAGGAGGATCCCAAGTTCAAGACCAGTCTGGGCAACTTAGCAAGATCCTGTGAGGAAGAGTCGTGGGAGGACAGGGTGCTGACTGCCACCTCCCTTCCTCTCCAGGGCCAAAACACACCCCTTCTCTTTATAAGCTAAAGATCTCAGGAGTCTAACAGGGAACTGACCGGCCCTCCCCTGAACAGGCGGTTCTGTCCATAGAAAATAGGAATATGTTGCCTCGTCCCTGGTGGCAGCAGGCAGCTAGCTGTCCCTGGGGAATGGGGAAATGGGGAAGGGGGAGGAGGGACTGCCAAGGGTGCAAGGAAACTTTAGGGGATGGCTATGTCTGCTACCTCCTCCACAGTGACAGTGATTTTGGGTGTATACATGTCCACAAGTCACCAAAGTGTACTCCATGAATACATGCAATTTTATTTGAAAAGGTGCCCAAGGGCCAAGGGATTTAGCTCAGCAGTACGCACCTGCCTGGCAAGTGCAATGGCCTGAGTTTGATTCCAAGTACCAAAAAAACAAAAAAAAAGGGGTGGCTGCTGAGATGGCTCAGTGGTCTAAAGCACCTACTTAGAACAAGCTAAGCAAAGCACAGGGACTGCGGTTCAATCCCCCCGCACCACATGCCAGCCAGCCCCGCCCCCTGGTGGGCTGAGCTG